TCAGAACACTTTAAACATTGAAAAAGGTTTACAAATTAATACTTGATTAGAAATGAAATCGACCACAGTTGAAGGATAGTAATGGTAATGGATCGATCATAAATGGTTTGATCAGAGTAAGTCGATCATGATTAAAGGATAGATGATGAACATTCGTCGATCATAGTTAGATAGATGATGATAATCGGTCGGTCACGATTTAGGGATAGATGATGAGAATGGGTTTATGGAGGTTGGTCGATCATGATTTAGGGATAGGTGATGATAATGGGTCGATCATGATTTAGGGATAGATGATGATAATGGGTCGATCATGATTCAGGATAGATGATGATAATGGGTCGATCATGATTTAGGGATAGATGATGATAATGGGTCGATCATGATTTAGGGATAGATGATGATAATGGGTCGATCATGATTTAGGGATAGATGATGATAATGGGTCGATCATGATTTAGGGATAGATGATGATAATGGGTCGATCATGATTTAGGGATAGATGATGACAATGGGTCGATCATGATTTAGGGATAGATGATGATAATGGGTCGATCATGGTTTAGGGATAGATGATGATAATGGATCGATCATGATTAAGGATAGATGATAATGACAATGGGTCGATCATGATGGTTTAGGGATAGATGATGATAATGGGTCGATCATGATTTAGGATAGATGATGATAATGGGTCGATCATGATTTAGGGATAGATGATGACAATGGGTCGATCATGATTTAGAGATAGATGAGATAATGGATCGATCATGGTTTAGGGATAGATGATGATAATGGATCGATCATGATTAGGGATAGATGATGATAATGGGTCGATCATGATTTAGGGATAGATGATGACAATGGGTCGATCATGATTTAGGGATAGATGATGATAATGGGTTGATCATGATTTAGGGATAGATGATGATAATGGGTCGATCATGATTTAGGGATAGATGATGACAATGGGTCGATCATGATTTAGGGATAGATGATGATAATGGGTCGATCATGATTTAGGGATAGATGATGACAATGGGTCGATCATGATTTAGGGATAGATGATGATAATGGGTCGATCATGATTTTTAGATGGATAGATGATTAGGGATAATGGATCGATCATGATTTAGGATAGATGATGATAATGGGTCGATCATGATTTAGGATAGATGATGATAATGGGTCGATCATGATTTAGAGGATAGATGATGATAATGGATCGATCATGGTTTAGGATAGATGATGGATAATGGATCGATCATGATTTAGGGATAGATGATGATAATGGGTCGATCATGATTTAGGATCGATCAGATGATGATCAATGGGTCGATCATGATTCAGGGATAGATGATGATAATGGGTCGATCATGATTTAGGGATAGATGATGATAATGGGTCGATCATGATTTAGGATAGATGATGATAATGGGTCGATCATGATTTAGGGATAGATGATGATAATGGGTCGATCATGATTTAGGGATAGATGATGATAATGGGTCGATCATGATTTAGGGATAGATGATGATAATGGGTCGATCATGATTTAGGGATAGATGATGATAATGGGTCGATCATGATTTAGGGATAGATGATGATAATGGGTCGATCATGATTTAGGGATAGATGATGACAATGGGTCGATCATGATTTAGGGATAGATGATGATAATGGGTCGATCATGATTTAGAGATAGATGAGATAATGGATCGATCATGGTTTAGGGATAGATGATGATAGTTAGATTTGGAAATGTCTGTCACGTGTCTCCATAAAGGAGTTACTGAATGATTGACATTTATAACCTTGTCCTTAGCATAGTGTTAATACCCCCGTGACGCCCTTTGACATTTTCGTTGAAGAGACATGCGAAATAATAGTGTACCTCAGTAGTTGTGACCGAAGAAAGGTAAAGGCGACATCCCTACATGAAATGACAATCATACTAATTAGACGTTGGCAATAATAGTGTCATCACTGGTAGGTAGACATTCAACCTTCTACAAGATAGGCATGGCGTGTCAGGTGTAGTCGCCCGATCTGTAATAATATGACATCCACGTAACTGTCTCTTCTACTGATAATGCATGAGTGATAAAGGATGTGCCACATTTGGCAGCTGCTCATAGCACGTCAGAGAAGCAATCCTGAACTACCGGGTTTCAAGAAAGATTAAATATATCATAAACCGACGAAGTGCGTGTTATTGACACAGATAAGCTCTCTAACCTAGGTCTCTAATGTGATCACTCTGATCAGAACAAGCTCAAGACGCGCTAAGTAAGGCTTATGATGTTTGCTATTTTAACACAAACGAAAGGTCGTAGTAACTTTTTGGGCTGAACGCTGACGCGAGTAGGTGCATACCCACACAACTTCCTCGACAATTTCTATTCGACTAGATTCTCTTCACTGTAACGTTCATCAGCCTATTTAGGCGTCCATTTTAGTAATCGCCAATGGTATATATAACACTTACAAATTATCACAGTGTATGTTTTCGATCGATCGATCGATCGATCGAGAGAGAAGAGAGAGAAGAGAGAGAGAGAGAGAGAGAGAGAGAGAGAGAGAGAGAGAGAGAGAGAGAGAGAGAGAGAGAGAGAGAGAGAGAGAGAGAGAGAGAGAGAGAGAGAGTACGTGTCTTTGTATAAAAATAGATAAATAGATTCGCCCCTTTTCTGAAGCAGTCAGCGTGCTAGGAAACTTTAGTTCGTGTATTTTCAAGGGACTTGTTCATGAAGGGTTCGAATCCCGGTTTGCCTATATTATGTTCGTGGGTTTGTCAGCACCATAGCTGTGTTCGTGGTTTGTAAGTAGTAAATCGACCTGCATCACTTCGCCGCTTTGAACAGTATGCAAGTTATATCTCGGCGTGCCACCAAGATGAGAAAACTCAAGCTGACCACAGACCTTTACAACTTTGGTATAAACACATGGGCATGTGCATGGTGCTATATGATATTATGACTTGAATGTCAGGGCTTGGCTACGGGGGCAATCACTGTCCCAACCACACATCCAGTTTGCAATATTTAAGAATAAACACCTGCTGTGATGTAATGAATTCAAACTAAATCCAGGACCCATTGCTATGTAAGTGATGCACTCAGTATGCAAGAAAACACGAAAACCGTCAGCGATGAATCTGAAACATGATTTGACACCACCACAGAAGGAATAGCTATACGTGCACTGTCCAACAATGGCAAAAGAGGTAGGTACAGAATTGGCCAACTGGTTGTAGAATCTGTAGCAGTGATGAAAACGATCGAAGGAGTACATTACAATCTAACACATCTTCAACATAGGAACCAAGGCAGGCTTGGGAACGACATAGCAACACCGGACAGCTCAAGCAAAGTTATAATGATAAGACGCCACAAAACGACATTCTGTCTTTAACATGGAACACATCCCGACTGTGAACTACAATCAGTCAAGATATAGTAACCATGATATGCAAGAACGGGATATCTTAAAGATGTTATCAACGACGTATATAAATACATGGCAGATAACTATCTTAATCTTGGTCGCTGTCTGATAATAAGCACCAAAAACACAAAAACAAAACAGGAAAAAACAGAGGTAAAAGCTTTATATAATGGCGGTAAACTCTCAAACACTGAAACAGTGTCTATAAACGTTCTCCAATTGATATTACTACCTCATACACTTATCAAGGTATATCATTTAGAAGATATCTTTCTTGGCAAGAGTCTGTGGTATGTACTTCAAAGTATTTGATAATAAAATATTACTTATATTGATGTATGGGTGTGAAATATAGGGTTCTACGTAAATTTTAAGGTATAGAAAAAGTACATTTATTTGCTTTACAACGTTTTATGGTTGTAAGAAGAGCATATTGTCGAATGTTGCAGCTTCCAATACATGTTTATACATTTAAATGTTCTAGTTTTTATTGGTTAAAATTTGTATCCATGCAATCATGTCGCTACCATTATGATATAAAATGCAGAGTAACCTTGACCTATATGGTACTGAAACTAGAAACAAAAATAAATGAGCTACTCTCTTAAAACTCACACTTCGTAAATTTGGACTTGGTTCGGCATGGATTGAACAAGGGATCCTATCACTTGTACTTCAGAGACGTAAAGAGGACTGGAGCGTCAACTTAAAACAAAATACATGTTCGTACACATATTCAAAGAACAATTTATCTGCAAAGAGCACTTCTATTCTATAAACATTAACTCAGTGAGAACTAAATTAGCCTAGTTTCGATGCTGTTGTTATGATTCAATGTTTCATGCAGTTGAAATGTGGGGAATCGAACCCGGGTCTCCGGGGTGACGAACGAACGCTTTAACCACTAGGCTACCCCACCGTCACGACCACACCTGGAAAATGTTAAAAGGAGTTTAGTTTTACGCCGCTTTTAGCAATATTCCAGCAATATCACGGCGGGGGACACCAGAAATGGGCTTAACACATTGTGCCCATGTGGGGAATCGAACCCGGGTCTTCGGCGTGACGAGCCAACGCTTTAACCACTAGGCGCCAACGCTTTAACCACTAGGCTACCCCACCGCCCTTCGTATATCTGATACAGTGATTAAGTGTGAGAGAGTGAGAGAGAGAGAGAGAGAGAGAGAGAGAGAGAGAGAGAGAGAGAGAGAGAGAGAGAGAGAGAGAGAGAGAGAGAGAGAGAAACAGAGACAGAGAGAGAGAGAGAGAGAGAAATATTTTTCCTGTTGATTAAGTTTGTGGTATTATTTTACTTTTTTTTGTCAACATGACCATTGTTTTTTGTTAAAAAGGGGTATGTACTCAGTCCTTCACTCAATCCCCCATTTAATCCGTGCATGAGATATCATTACGGTTAAGCCATCTGAACAACCCCTGCTTGGTCATTCACGGTTACGCGAGGAACTGACTCTTGACAGATGCGAGAAGCGTCTCTGACTCAAGTGAAACATACACAAGCTTGTCAATCAAGTGCGCGCGCAACCCCTCCCTGAGGGTAAAGCTCGTTGCAGACATTCAACAGGTAGTAGACTCGCAAAGACAGGCGAGGATCAGGACGCGTACTCGAGAGGGGGCAGCAATACCTTGTTGCATTGAGAAACAGTTTCTCTCTAATATCCATCAGGATGACGTCTAACGGCCACGTTAATGATGCATATGACGGTTTACCAGAAAAGGTAAGAAGTTTACTTTGTTAGATCATGGCCAACGATGCTCGTACTTAACACCCAGCTGTTAGCCGTGAGAACATGTGTACCATCAGCCCAGCAACAATCGGTTTATGCCCGGACTGTCGACAACAAGAAATAATCCGTCCAAAATACTTGTCGACAGTCCGGGAAAAGGAGGTGATGTTCTACATGAGTGACTTCACTCCCAGTGTTCTCGAATTAACAAACTAATTAAAACAGAGTGTGATATATATAGTAGACAATATATTTATTCAGTCAATATAACAACATGCATGTATCATATGTCACATAATATAGCATATTTGTTCATATATTTCATAAAGCTCACACAATATATTTGTGTGTGTGTTTTATATAAATAAGTAATTTCTGCAGGTGTATAAGTAATAAATAAACTCTGTCAAAAAAGAAACGCAACCCCTGTCCTCAGATATGAAAAATTCGTTTGAATGAAGTTATTGCTTCCAAACTAAATTTTATTCGAATGTATTGAAATGATACACGTAATTAATGAAGATTACCATCCAAACAACTGCATTTGTACGCATAAGTGTATTTTATTGCTTATTCCGTCACAACGCATGAAATGACCCTCATGGTGACTTCGCACAAAAAAAACACATGCAAATCATGAAATGGCAGTTAATGTAGGTGTATAAAAGCCCATGTGCTTCCGTATTATATTCATTCATTTGTCGCCGAAAAGCTGTGTTAAAATGCCACGATTGAGTGCTGCCGACCGAAATATCGCCATTGGTCGTGTTCAAGCCGGAGAAAGTTTTGGAACTGTTGCACGGCACCTAAATGTTCACAAAACAACGATATCCCGACTTTGGAGCCGCTACAACAACTTCAATTTGACCAACGATCGCCCGAGAAGTGGAAGGCCAAGAATCACGACCCCTTCAAGATCGGTACATCCGGGTCCATCACCTGCGTAATCGGCATGCCCTACCAACCGTGACTGCCACACAAATACCAGGTTTGAGGAGAGTGTCAGCTCAAACGATTAGGAACCGTCTGAAAGAAGCGGGTTTACGTGCCTGTAGACCAGTTGTTGGACCTGTACTACGCCCCTACATCGACGCCGACGACTCAGGTGGTGCAACAACGTAAGGATATGGACTTTACAAAACTGGAGGCGAATCTGGTTTTCTGATGAATCACGTTTTCTTTTGCAACGTCACGACGGAAGACAGCGTCTGTATAGGAGACGTCATAACGTTTTGCGCCCATCTGCGTCCGACAGGTGGACAGATTTGGCGGAGAAAGCGTCATGGTTTGGGGAACCATCTCATACAACCAGAAATCAGACTTGGTGATCGTTCCAGGGAACCTGACAGCCCAACGTTACATCAACCACGTGTTAGAGCTTCACCTTCTCCCGATTATTGACCAACAGACACAGATTTTTTCAACGGGACAACGCCCGGCCTCATACTGCACGTGCAACAATGAACTTTCTGCAGAATTCCAACGTCAATGTCTTGCCATGACCCTCTAAATCACCAGACCTCAACCCTATTGAACACCTGTGGATACTCTGGATCGACGCGTACGTCAACGTCAGCCGCCGCCACAGACGCTGCAACAGCTCGCCGTTGCACTGCAGGAGGAGTGAAGAGCCATTCCCCAGGAAAGAATCCGGCGTCTTATCCGTTCTTGTCCAAGGAGATGCCGTGCAGTGATTGCAGCGCGTGGTGCTCATACGAGATACTGAGAAAGACGCCCCCCTGGTGACAAACTGGTGTCTGTGAGATGACTTTTGAAATGACAATTTTAAACATGCCCATCTGGGTTATTATTCTGCCAAATTTCAGACTTCTGTCTTAAATAATAAAAATGCCGTGTCGTCCTAAAACTTCAGATCAAAATCTCTAAAATACAGGGGTTGCGTTTCTTTTTTGACAGAGTTTATATAAAAGATGAGTCCAGTTATTTCTTCTTGCCAAAACACCTTTATATCTGCACTAAAGTAATCTGAATGTTCAGCCAAGATGAAGCAGCTCTGACACATGGTCTATGTAATGCAAGTCAGTAAGTCTGTCGGCAAGAAGGTCGGCCTTCAAGGATCGAATCCTAGCGTCGATGATTCGGTAGCGACGTCTACGGACGGGATCTCTCTGCTGTCCTTGGATCTGCTGAATTTTTACTTCAGTAGATGACTGTTCTCTTTGTAGCATTCGCACAACCTCAAATACATTGGGATGTGTCTTCATGGCATACTTGTTGATTTTGTTGTGCCAACCTTCCAAATTATTGTTAGTTCTGTGTCCATCATTTTCAAAATGATTCCAAGTTGACAGTGTCCATGGACCTTCTACCCAGTTGGTAGTAACGTAATCCATCAGCTGTGTCGCCTTTTCACCTAGTGGTGCGTCTGCAATGGCATCAAGCCAGACATCTTCAACTTTATCATTTACTCATGATACGAGCATAGCTGTAGCCGCCATGGCCACTTGCAACCACTAAGCAAACATTCTCTTTCATTAATTAACACCGTCACGGTATGTTGACCACGCGATGTCGACATTCCGGGTTTTTTGTTTTGTCGACAGTTAGGGACATCCTATTTTTCATTTGTCGACAGATCGGGCTGACACCCAACAATCAGTGTTATCCAAGCAGAAATCTCGTATTGGTGCTCACAACACACTCGGAGTTCATGCCATAGTGTGACCAAAACAATGCTTGATAGCAGAGATTAAACGAGCGTGCATATATAGCTACTCCCCAGGGGTGACAGGTGCCTCAGCTTTAAGTAATATGATGAACAATGCCCCCGGGGCAGCAATATCTTAACAATGATATATTGTTAAGGTACTACTTACATACTCACGCGTTTGTGGAATACAGAAAATGGACAGGTCAATGCTTGGGCCATTTTAGTCTGCCGGGGAGTTCACATTGGATTTGGAAATTATGATCTTAAACATTATTCGATGTTTTCTGTAAATATCAACTGTCAACGATTTATTTCTTCTAGAATTTCAACTCGTGACATGGTCAAAATCATAATAATGTCTGTAGAGGATGTGATCAAACAGACTCTAGATCACCCTTGTCATCATAAGAATGCAGTGTAACTACCTACATCTCGCGAGAAAGCCCCGAACAGCACGCTTTAGTCTTGCCTCAACAGTTAGTTAACTATTGCTATTACTTCAATCCGTTTGCAAGTAGTCTGACTCTACCTTAACGTATCCTTTTGAACATGTATTCTTGCCGTAGCCAGTTGCCGTCTTTTGAAATAATGATCCGATTGTGACCATTTATAGCTCATTTTGTAGGGAAATCATCTCGCTTTTGATCCGTAGGCCTCGACGGGGGCCTTAAAAATAGTTTACGTGGTGAAATCTAACTTAGATTGAGGAGGGGGGTGGTTCCGTCGTTACATTCCTTTCCTTTTATATAGTACTAGGGTAGGGTCTATATACCTATATGTCTTTCTAACGCTGTTTCTAAGCGTGACACGCCCCTGTGATGTCACTAATGATTACCTCTAGCTCACGACTAGACAGTATAACCATGTTCCTCTTTAAGGAGTGCAGTGTTTATGGATGACTAGCGCTGGCGGGATTGGTGATTGTCTCATGTTAACACACCTTTGAGAGCTATGTAAATACCTAGGAGCAGTTTATTTCATAAGAATCAGAATAGATTTTTGTAAACAGAAGCATGATCTTGGTAAATGAGTGGAGATTGCATGTTCACGGGCCCTTTGAATGACAACCAGTACGTGCACATGTTGACCGAATCTACGGTTTTACAATTTCTTATCCCCTCCGAACAGGTACCTTCACATTACATGTGATAGAAACTGCTGTAAGGCTCCCTATTGAAGCTGCCCCATTCTAGGTCGTCTGGCTGAAAGGAGTTTTGAAAAGTCTTTCATACGACACGCGTGATATCGCCATGATAGTGTACCCGTTACCGTTCTGCACATGTCGGTGTCAGTTCATTGTAATGGTCCAATATTTTCATATTCAACCATATTTTCTCATGGTCTACGATCAAGGCTCAACACTGGGTAGTCCCTCCGGGATGAAATGTAGATTCAAAATACAGAAAGAACTACGTTTATAACGAACACACTTATGACAAACTGACGGATATGAGGAATTGTATTTGGTCCTGACCACGTGATGTATATCTTAGTCTTAATGTGCATGATGAACACGGTTATAACGAACTCAAATCTGTGGTCCATTTGAGTCGGTTTTACGGTTAGTATTGATATATAGAACGCATGTTCTGGGGGCTTGTGACTTAAGACTAAATCAGTGCATTTTCTGAAAGAATCAACTGGAATCTGCAATGCCATTGGGAAATTATGTACACAACTGCAATTACAAACTATCAAAACCAAAAGGCCGTCATAAGAACGCTTCTTCTTACTAACTAGATGTCAAAGGTTCAGACATAGTTTGCAGAACCAACTTAAAATCAAAGCAACGTGCAACCGTGACCATCACCCGTGGCCCCAGCTGCTTGTGCCTGCTGTTATATCTTTTTTTATTTTGATATAAAAACAATAAAATAATGTGTACATGCTTGCACAGGGAACACGAGGAGAATGAACAACTACATTTGCCATTAAAAACTATCTGACGTCATCCCATAACAAATGTCTCTCGCCAACACCACAAAAAGCGACGTGTTTACCCGCTTCTGATTGGATAGGGACAAATTTACATCCGGGTCAGATTATACGAGTGCTATATCGCTGTGACAAGTGTGTCTGGCAACAGCTTTGCGCAGTCTCATACACTTGCCCAGGTGCATTATGCAAAGAGATTAGAAGGGAATACTTATGTGTGATACAGCAAGAGCGTCTGTTTAAATGCTTGATTTGTTGTGGTTGATGGCTCTTCTCCCTTTAAATTATTACAAATTGAAGAAAGCGCATATATAATCTTTGTAAAATCTCTTCCCCAGTATTTTGAAAATAGATATTCCTTTTGATTCGAATCTTTTGTAAATCACCCATGAATTGCTTTCATTTCGACTTTTGATTTTCAACAACGAAAGTTCCTACCTGCAGAACGAAACTCGGGTGGGGGATACTTGTGGATAATGAAATTGGAACGTATATCCTATATTCAGGGGTGGAAATAACTTTAAAATTGATAGTGTACTCCGGTACAGTGGCACATGTAAAGTCACTTGTCCTGATAATTTTTCCACTATACCGACCGTTTTCTTCTTGATTTTTTAATAAACAACATAATTAACATTGGAAAGTCAACTGGACACCGGTACAGTGTGATATACAAATTTGCTTGCCCGACAGAAAAAAAACACTGGACTCGGACATCGGGCAATGGGTTATTTCCACCCCTGATATTGCGACTTCTACTTATTCCGCCTGGTACCCGTTAACGTGTCTGATGTGTCAAACTGGTACAGGGACGTAATATTCAAACCATCACAAACCAAACTTATTTATTGCTCGCCCCCCCCGCCTCTTCCCCCATCCGAGTTGTCCAGGTCCAGGTTGGCTTGACACTGTCGTCATAGCGATGTGAAAGTCCGTCACGGACCTGTGGCTTGTATTGTCCAGTGTACGCAGTTTATCTCGCGATGGCCCAGGACTGACCAACCAATTGCGAGGTCATGGTCGGAGGACGTTTTTATCTCACCGCAGGTTAACTCGACACAATTTCACAATAATAGAGAGTGACACGTGAAGATCCGGGTTTAAATGGTCTACATCAGGCGACTGTAGGGATCCGGTGGTCAGACTCGCTGACTTGGTGGACTTGGCATGTGATCGTACTCCGAACAATGCTCATGATGTCAATCACTGGATTGTCTGGTCCATACTGGATTATTTACAGACCGCCGCCACATATAGCTGTAATACTGCTGGTTGGTACACATATGTCAAAGGGACCATCAACGTTAGTCGTTAGACCCTTAAGTCGTTAAATGCAATCGACTAATATAAAGAGCAAGTTGTCGGGAAAAAAACATAGTTTGTTATTCCCGTCAGCTCGGTATGAGCGTGTTTGTCGTATAGGTAATTTACTGTATACACGTAACCTCTGTCGAAATCTCCCGTATGCAAAGACACAATGCACTTAACAGTTGAATAGTCACACGCACGACGCTGGCGTCACACTTCCCCCACGGATATCACTGGTGTTCGGGTCGACTCACACTCGTGTACTTGGTATGCCTGAGGTGTATTTACATGCACCCGTAAACCGAGAAGAGGGATTTACAAAACTGGTGTTCCAGGGGACCGATCCACAAAGCGTTCGTAGCGCTACGACATTCGTTACCCTATGATAAACTATACGACATGTCGTAAACCTTACCAACGCTATATTCATCGGGTACGAATAATTGATATCAAGGGCATTTACATGAACACCCTGTTAAGTAACAAACTGATGTAGTCTAGTACTACTGTACTGTAAGATAATTACTCATTAATTTGGCACAATGAATGTTACTGCTACACGAGTAACACACTATACGTAAGTTATGTGTCTATGCTATACATATGTAAGTACACGACGCAAATTCTGCTTCGTGGGAAACCCTGTGAAACACGCACACACACACACGCACGCACGCACGCACACACACACACACACCTAATCACTGTATCAGATATTTGATATATGGGACAACCACATATTTCCAAATCCTATTATCATTTTCCGGGTGTGGTCGACAAATACAAAGTTTACCATTATATACGTAATGGAGGAGGCTCATATCTTGTCTTAATAACTTCGCTCCGAGGGTGGCATATTCGTCTGTAGAAATTCGCCGTGCAGAGTTGCATACATATATTATATACTGACGGAAAAGGAACTGTGCATAACATAAAACTGCATAAAAATACACACACGAATCCCAGGCTTACAAGCAGACTGCCACCCTCTGCGTCCCTAGTCAGTGTGTTATAGGACTGGTTAGTGCATGCGAGTTGATTCTGAAATTATACTAGAAATAAAACCCCAAAATACATAACTACAATGTTCGAGTAATTTGCAAGTTGTTCAACGAAGCATTCAGCAATATTTCAGCAATATTGACAATCCTGGACCAGACAATCCAGTATCATATTTCTGAGTGTGTTATTTTGAAACTCTATATGTCGTCATGTCTACGTGTAAGGCTGTTTCACAGATGTATTGTATTGAGATATGCTCTAACGTTTACATTACGGGCACTGTACACTGACTTTCTGTTTCACAGATGTATTGTATTGAGATATGCTCTAACGTTTACATTACGGGCACTGTACACTGACATTCTGTTTCACAGATGTATTGTATTGAGATATGCTCTAACGTTTACATTACGGGCACTGTACACTGACTTTCTGTTTCACAGATGTATTGTATTGTGTATTGCATTGTAGATATGCTCTAACGTTTTGACATTCTGTTTCACGGAGATATTACGGGCACTGTACACTGACATTCTGTTTCACAGATGTATTGTACGTTGCTCTAACGTTTACATTACGGGCACAGACTGTACACTGACACTGGGCACTGTACACTGACATTCTGTTTCACAGATGTATTGTATTGAGATATGCTCTAACGTTTACATTACGGGCACTGTACACTGACATTCTGTTTCACGGATGTATTGTATTACGGGCACTGTACACTGACATTCTGTTTCACAGATGTTTCACAGATGTATTGTATTGAGATATGCTCTAACGTTTACATTACGGGCACTGTACACTGACATTCTGTTTCACAGATGTATTGTTATTACGGGCACTGTACACTGACATTCTGTATTCTGTTCACAGATGTATTGTATTGAGATATGCTCTAACGTTTACATTACGGGCACTGTGTACACATTCAGATGTATTGTATAACGTTTGACGGGCACTGTACACTGAATTCTGTTTACATTACGGGCACTGTACACTGACATTCTGTTTCACAGATGTATTGTATTGAGATATGCTCTAACGTTTACATTACGGGCACTGTACACTGACATTCTGTTTCACAGATGTAGATGATATTGTTTATTACGGGCACTGTACACTGACACGGATTCTACGGGCACTGTTGACATTCTGTTTCACAGATGTATTGTATTGAGATATGCTCTAACGTTTACATTACGGGCACTGTACACTGACATTCTGTTTCACGGATGTATTGTATTACGGGCACTGTACACTGACATTCTGTTTCACAGATGTATTGTATTGAGATATGCTCTAACGTTTACATTACGGGCACTGTACACTGACATTCTGTTTCACAGATGTATTGTAGATGTATTGTTTACAGATGTATTGTATTACGGGCACTGTACACTGACATTCTGTTTCACAGATGTATTGTATTGAGATATGCTCTAACGTTTACATTACGGGCACTGTACACTGACTTTCTGTTTCACAGATGTATTGTATTACGGGCACTGTACACTGACATTCTGTTTCACAGATGTATTGTATTGAGATATGCTCTAACGTTTACATTACGGGCACTGTACACTGACATTCTGTTTCACAGATGTATTGTATTGAGATATGCTCTAACGTTTACATTACGGGCACTGTACACTGACATTCTGTTTCACAGATGTATTGTATTGAGATATGCTCTAACGTTTACATTACGGGCACTGTACACTGACTTTCTGTTTCACGGATGTATTGTATTACGGGCACTGTACACTGACATTCTGTTTCACAGATGTATTGTATTGAGATATGCTCTAACGTTTACATTACGGGCACTGTACACTGACTTTCTGTTTCACGGATGTATTGTATTACGGGCACTGTACACTGACATTCTGTTTCACAGATGTATTGTATTGAGATATGCTCTAACGTTTACATTACGGGCACTGTACACTGACTTTCTATTTCACGGATGTATTGTATTACGGGCACTGAGATATACACTGACATTCTGTTTCACAGATGTATTGTATTGAGATATGCTCTAACGTTTACTATTGAGATATGCTCTAACGTTTACATTACGGGCACTGTACACTGACATTCTGTTTCACAGATGTATTGTATTGAGATATGCTCTAACGTTTACATTACGGGCACTGTACACTGACTTTCTGTTTCAGGAAAGTGGATACGCTAACGGTATAGATCCAATTGTAAGTATCAGCGTGACGTTCATTAGACATGGGTATGGTGCGAACCTATACTGTACAAAAATGGTTAGGGATCATAATATTTTGTGTTCAGTGATCCCTTACCTTTATGTTCAGTGTCTATAAAAACTGAGGGACGAAAGAAAGTTATCTCTGAGTCAATCCCGCCAAACAGCAGTTCTTTGATTTGGAATTATATGAAAAACAAACATGCTTTCTTATGCCCCTCAGTTTACCTACTATATCAGGGGTGCCTCGGCAGCAACGAGGTCCAAATCGCCTATGTTGTTAACTATGGAGGTGTTCCTCTTTTCTGTGTGCTCTATTGATTATCGGTGCTAGTCCCATAATGTCCATGTAATGATTATTGTTCTCTCCTTGCCATTGTTATAGTTGTTACGTCATAAGACTTAATTAACTCCATGCCTAATGTAAATTATCACGTAGATGTTTTATTAAAAATAGAAAACATAATTACTGCAGTGACGTGTTTCGAACTGCTAATATACTGAGTCAAAAAAGAAACTTCACATTCTTTCTTCAGGGCACTATAAAAGAACAAGAGATGGTAAGATGGTTAAATTGTTATTATTTCATTGCTGAGATCTGTGTGATGTACTCGATACACCGACAGTGCCATAATCAGTTCCATTAGGCTACACCGCCGTTCCAAAACATGGGTATACAGCCGGCAGAAATCTGTCACGTAGGTGACGTAGGACGATTTGACGGTCTTCTGCTCGTGACGTCACATGTGGACGACCCAACCTTGGGCGATCAGAAGTGGTGCCAGTTTGTTGTAGACGACCTCGCAAGTCATACACAGTACGACGGCTGCATCCCATTGCTCTTGCGACGTCAATAACTGATCTTCCCGCTTGCAACATGCCAACGGCACGTTCACGTTGCACATTTGACAATCGTGGCATTTCAAGTACCGTTAGAACTGTGGTTTAAAAGTGTATTTTCAATTCTTGAGGCCAATGCAAACACGTGCATATGAAGAAAACTTCGATGCGAAGATCACGTGATCGACTGCACGTGCAAAACCTGATTTGGCACTAACGTCATTTGCACGACGAATGGATGGGTTTGAGTGGGTTTTGCTAACGTTTTTCTAGAGTCGAAAGATAGGGATCCCATTTCGGATACATAGATGTATCATCAGAGAAAAATTATTCATTATTTTTCAAATTACATTTTGTGAAGTTTCTTTTTTGACTCAATATAATAATAGCAGTTAAAACCGTGCACATCAGCCAGCATCTTTATATCTGTTAATTATACTGTTTGTATGTTGTGTTGTCACCGCACTCAGCAATATTATGGCTTTATACCTGCGGTTAGTAAATAGTCGTGTCTGGTCCGGTGAATTCAATGATTGACATCATGTGCATCGCTCGGGGTAACATACATTCCATAATGTGCAGCTACCGGTCAACAAGCTTGATTACCCGATTCATTCTGCCACTTGTTGCAATGCGCATGGGTTGCTGAAGACCAGTCTATCATAGATGTTCCCAGGTTGATGATGATATGATACATTTTGACCCAATGCCTTTCCGTGTCGTTTTAGGACAACAAGGTGATAGAGGTGGAGGAAGAGTATGACAAAGAAAAGGAAAAGGAAGAAGATCCATGGAAGGTGACAACAATTGAAGTGGAAGAAAAACCGTGGGCAGGTCAGTGGCTAGACAAATTGTGTAAAACCTCGTTAATACGAACTTCAAATTATTGAAGTATCGTCAAACATAATGTAACGTTATGGGTTCAAATGAGACACATGAACCTAAGCTGTCTCGAATTACGCATAATTCGACATACTGTGGGTTTTTGTTGATTTGGAGCTAACAAGCACAGGCCCTCGTGTCTTTGCGAGGATTTAATATTTATAAAAAATATATAAAAATTTGAGATGACCCCCGACTCGAAATGCTTCACAGTACAACGCATCGTGACAAGGCCAGACACTTCCGTGCTCCCCACCCTACGGCCGTGCCGAACGCTACGCCACCATCGCCTGCAATCGATTAAAACTTAATGTAAAATCTTAGATGATAGGCCTATCGAGCGCCACTCATGACACCTACCAATTCTTTATTGTTATTTCTGCAAGTCGATTGAAACCCGATTTTGACTCTCAACTAAACGACCTTGACACAAATGGATGGCGATATATCGCTCAAACGGGGTGTGGTCGAAGCAATCACTTGATGAGTAAAATTCTGAATTTTCTTTTAACACAGAGTTGAACTGCGCAGAGCTGATTTTCCGACTGTGCAAGTATATACTTGGAGTCGCTCTCATCCTGGGTTTCCTCTATATGTTCATCTGTTCCTTGGACTTCCTCAGCTCGGCCTTCAAGCTCCTGGGAGGTAAGTTCCACTACCCATGAGTGAGTGAGTGAAGGGGTGGGTGGGTGGGTGGGTGAGGGAGGCGGGGAATTAGGGGAGGAAACTGTTTTAAAAACTATTCAGCTTATTACAGCGTGTCAGCTTTCTGGGGAAACCCCGAAGAGCTGAAGATCGCAGACATATTTCTATGTAATAATACAAATGGAGAATATGCGATTAGAATTTGCTGTCTTTAAACTCAGCATGAGTGAGTGAAGTAGTGGATTGGGTTAAACTGTTTACGGTATTTAAGCCGGAAGTGATGTATGTCACAGACGCTTACTACTTTGGGGGGCGGTGGGGTACCCTAGTGGTTAAATCGTTCGCTCGTCACACCGAAGACCCGGGTTCGATTCCCCACATGGGTACAACATGTGAAGCCCATTTCTGGTGTCCCCCGCTGTGATATTGCTGGAATATTGCTAAAAGCGGCGTTAAACCACACTCAGTCAGTTACTACTTTGATGAAAAGTGCGGTGGGGTAGTCTCGTGGTTAAATCGTTCGCTCGTCACACCGAAGACCCGGGTTCGATTCCCCACATGGGTACAACATGTGAAGCCCATTTCTGGTGTCCCCCGCTGTGATATTGCTGGAATATTGCTAAAAGCGTCACTTTGGTGAACACCACGAGGAAGAGCATGACGGTGACAAACGTAAAACATAATCAAGGCTTATCTGGATTCGAACCAGCAATGGTGGGTTTCTGTCATGTCTACGGGGCGCAACGGATGATGACCAAAAGGCTTGGTGTAGCTTCTGGGCGTTGTTGGGATTGTGATCTTGCATTATATAAAACATAACATTACTTCCTACAGGTAAGGCGGCAGGACAGGTGTTCCAGAACAATGAAATCCTTTCGAATCCTGTGGCCGGGATGATGATTGGCGTCCTTGTGACTGTCCTAGTGCAAAGCTCCTCCACGTCCACCTCCATCATCATCAGCATGGTCGGTGCCGACAGTAAGTACATTATCCCTGAATCTGATTTAATATGAGAAGCTTGAGTGAGGACTTCTCTACCATTGTAAACATTCCAGTCATATCACCTGATTCTGTTTTTCTAAGGTATGTGTGTATGGGTGAATGCCTTGAGGGGTCTAGAAAACAGTTTTTTTCACTTTACTGGGAGTAGACCGCTTTCACATCTACTTTTACCTCACCTGTCCAACGGGGCGGTGGGGTAGCCTAATGGTTAAAGCGTTGGCTCGTCACGCCGAAGACCCGGGTTCGAATCCCCACATGGGCACAATGTGTGAAGCCCATTTCTGCTGTCCCCCGTCGTGATGTTGCTGGAATATTGCTAAAAGCGGCGTAAAACCAAACTCAGTCAGTCAGTCAGTCACCTGTCCAACAGTGGGATACAAGTATACTACACAGCTATCGTGGTTGGAGTTAGCATGAATTAATACCTCTAATGCGTAAATGTGGAAAGCGTAGGGGTATGAATAATATCAACCGTTCAAACCGAAACATGAGTCTCATTAACCTATTCAGACAATGACCTACTTTTCAGCCGATCCGAATTTTCTCGTGTGAAAGTGAAAAGAGACACCACAAACAACTATGGTTACACTGAATTCTAATTCTTTGTTTCATAAGAAAATGGTATTTACAAGTTAATTTTAATTTTAAACTTTAATAACATGGTATTTCTATTGTTTATGGCGAGGTGTAGGCAGCATGAACTTAACTAAGACGTCACAGACTGCCCCTGTTTGATGAGATCGTAAAATGATTCACAATTCATCTGGCTCACTGGTTACATCTGTTATGTGTCCTTTGCGCTTATTCAGTGTAGTTTTGTAACGCACAATGTGATTGATATAATATCAAGTCCGTACCAGACCGCCATAACTTTCTAGCGACAGAGCCTCGTTTTCAGATTTCCACGATTTCCAGATTTCCGTCTGTCAGAGCACGCTGCACGACGTGTTTGTAAGGATTAGACGGAGCGTAGTGTTGCAATACACAAGTCCTTAGATGTATCAAACAATACTGATTAATATTTATGTATTCAGTTGAATGAATTGGTCACATAAATTCTGGACTGGTTATTGTACTATGTTGCGCAATAGGATGAAATCCAGTCAGCAGGAAACGAGACTGTTGTGTAATCACTATTTTGCCTATGTACAGACAACACCCGGATGTGTTGATGATGATGATTTGGAGATTTAACGTGATTGTTGTTTTGGACATAATGCGTATGTCGCACACACGGTTACTTATATTTTCCTTAAAACTATTCCAATGTTCGCGGTGGGCTGATCCAGATTCGGTATTTGGTTTCATTCGAAATTCGTAATTAATCAAGGACAATGTTTTAGAGACTTTGTATACGTTCATGGAAAAACAATTTGTAATTTCCCTGAAATAAAATGTCCTTTCTTCTAGTTCTGACAATCCCCATTGCCATCCCTATCATCATGGGGGGCCAACATTGGAACGTCTGTCACCAACACCATAGTCGCAGTAGGACAGCTCAACAACAAGTCCGACTTCCGACGTGCCTTCGCCGGCGCCACCGTGCACGACATGTTCAACTGGCTGACCGTTATCATCCTCCTGCCTCTGGAGGTCATCACGGGTAAGATTATAGCTCGAAAATCTGGACATAAGGTCATTAAAATTTAGATATGACATCAAGAGCACGCCTCATTACAGGTCATGTCAAAACATCGTTACGCAAACTTTCACCAACCAATGAATTAACGACAAGCCAATCAGAATAGCACTTCTGTAGTTTTCAATGGCAACTTTGATTTCGCGACCTTACTACAAATACTTTACCAAAGATGTCTATTCAGATATAAATAATGTCAAAAGAAAATTTCCATCCCAGAGATTATATGGCAGTATTTTCTAAAGGCTTTGGAAAGTCTTTTGCGTTTCAAAGGTTTATTCTGTTGAATTTCACTTGATCAGTTGTTGACGATCCCGATAGAAGTTTCATAGATATATCCCGATACTACAACATGTACATAATTCCGGCGTATCAACCTATCGATACACATATCCCATACACATGTATCATCTAAGACAGCAGGGGGCGGCGGGGTAGCCTCGTGATTAAAGCGTTCGCTCGACACGCTAAAGACCCGGGTTCAATTCCCCACATTGGTACATTGTGTGAAGCCCATTTCTGGAGTCCCCCGCCGTGATATTGCTGGAATATTGCTAAAGGCGGCGTTAAACCTAACTCACTCACTTGACCGACCCATTATCTTGACCCGAAACACTAGCAGGTGCTCTCTGATGGAGTGTGCAACATGACATCTTTATTCCAGGCTATTTAAGCAGGCTGAGTGGTCTCATCGTGAACTCTATCCCTGACCTGGCACCAGACAAGAGCGCAGACCGTGATTTCCTGAAAATCCTTACGAAGCCTTTCACCAAAATGATCATTGAGGTGCGTACATCGCAGAACATACGTGGAGAGACTTAAAGGTCACATGCATCGTAAAACACAACTTTGCAGATTCTGTTACCTTTCGGTATGGACTTACCGAAACAAATCATCAAAAATACAAATTCAAACCTCAAATCGTAGTTCAAACGATTCACTAATTTCCCCCCAGCGCTTGGGGGAATTGAAGTGGTTTCAACAGCTGGGCTGCGCTCATAGCACATGCGCAGTGAAATAGGTTCGCGCAGCTTGGAAGCGGGTTGTTCGGTGAAGGCTTTAGTGTGAGCTATTTTTCTAATGTTTTGTTGATATTTCACAGGCGCGAGCTTTTTATATGTTATTACAGTAGATTACCGATTTAACTGTTTATATAATTTCATTTGTCTATTTCACCACACGTTCTTCTTACCAAGTCACTTTCTCAGTTCGATACTTAAAAGCAATGTCATTATTTAGCGTTGACAGAATTTCTAACTGTAATATAGATATGTCGTTGTCACAGACGTTTATAGGAAGTCTATGTATGTTCCAGGTCGACAAAAGTGCCATTACTAAGATTGCCACCAACACACACAAAGGCGAGTCTCTACTGAAGACGTGCTCTGATAAAGTCACTCCATGGACTTGCTGCTCCGACGAGCTCAAAGACATGAACGTCCACAACAACGTATCATACTCCTTCACGAAACAGATCCAGGTTTGCAGTGCCCTCAACTCCTGTGCCAAGAAACACACTTGCTCAGTCGATTTCTGGAAGGATGACACCTTCAGCTGCGACAACTTCGCCCTCAACAATACATGCTGCGAAACCTTCAGAACTGGGTATACATTTCCCAACACCATCAATGATACTGTGAAGAACACCTTCTGTGGCGAACTTGTGGCCAACTGTCAGAACAATTACCTTGTAACAAAAGACTGCATGGAATCAGCATGGTCTAACAACACTGCCTTCTCCTGTGACACGTGGATCGGCATTGAGACAGAATGCATCAAACCTAGTAAGTAACTAGTACTAGTGATTAATATGCACATGGAATAAGGCCCGTAAGTAGGTCACGACACTTCGCGAGACCTTGGTACTTCCGGTTACAAACAACGTTCCATACCTTTTCGAATGGTCTCATGGTTGTCAGTTGACACTAAGGAACCGATAATCCTTGCAGGAATAACAAATTTCCGATTTAACCATCCCCAAATTTGCTAAAAAAACTATGACGACTGGCAACAGCTGTGACAGCCAACCATGCTTGTACACTTGGTCCGGTCTAGTAAAGTCACATTTGGCGGTCGCGCGATTTGGAACCAGAACTGGTTCTTGAAAATACGCTTGTCACCGGAAATCTGGTACCGGAAGTAAGCTGGGCCCCGTCTCGCATATCGCAAGTTTGCGGGCGCAAAGGGAGCCGGGAATCAGCTTAGTGCCGGAAGTAGCGCCTCGCTACAGGCCCTAAACACATGCCATAGCTACGTAAGAGCTCAGTCTGCACTGTAAATTGGCAGTATGCCTCAATGCTCTGTGGGATGATTAATACTAAACATGGTAAGATGGCAATACGTTTGGCTGATCTCTCGGCGGTAGGCAATGTTTGTCAAACCGTTCTCGCCGATCACCCCATCATCACAATCTTGATGTAAGAATTCTCTAGTATGATCTAACATACGCTACCTACCGTCACGAGCATAGCCGTTTGCCGTTTTCAAATCACCATATGATCACATTCTTGGAGTAAGAATATTCTGGTAGGATCTAGTATAGCTTGATATATGTTCATAGATAATAACATTACAACGTATAAATATTTTCTCGTATTTACCCTTCTTCGTGTGTAATGTTTATTGTAAAATGGTATTCTGTTCTTAATCTCATTGATAACTATTCGATGATCCTCAGTTCTCAAATAATTCCTTATCTTTTACAGAAACTCACCTGTTCATGGGCCTGTATGGGAAGATTGATGATATCTATATTGGAGCCATCCTGTTGGTCATATCGCTGGCTGTGTTGTGTATCTGTCTCGTCTGTATTGTCAAGCTCCTCAACGCTCTGCTCAAGGGCCAGATTGCACTCGTCATCAAAAAGTTCGTCAACGCTGATTTCCCTGGCAAATGTTCGTATTTCACTGGATATCTGGCTATCTTACTAGGTGCTGGACTGACCATTCTTGTCCAGAGCAGCTCCATCTTCACCTCCACGCTAACACCCCTCGTGGGAATCGGAGTGATTGAGCTTGACCGTATGTACCCTCTCACCCTGGGTGCCAACATTGGAACCACGACTACCGGTATTCTTTCAGCTCTTGCTCAAGACGGTTCCAAAATCAGGGATTCTCTCCAGGTTGCCCTCTGCCATCTGTTTTTCAACATCAGTGGTATCCTGATATTCTACCCGTTTCCATTCTTCCGCCCACCGATTCCAATGGCCAAGTTTTTGGGCACCGTCACCGCCAAGTACCGATGGTTTGCATTCGCATACCTTGCCGCAATGTTTTTCTTCTTACCAGCTGCTGTGTTCGGACTGTCCATCCCTGGTTGGTACGTGCTTGCGGCCGTGCTCATCCCTATCGCCATTGTCGTCATCATCATCTGCATCGTAAAATTGATACAGAGGAAGAGACCCACTTGTCTCCCTCCGAAGTTTCGGAATTGGAAGTGGCTCCCTGAACCCATGCGCTCTCTCCGCCCTTATGATAATGTGATGCAGAAGGTATGCTGCCCCTGTCTGCTGACCGATGATCTAACGGAGGAAGATGACGATTCCAAGAAGCCCATGTCCAATGGGACAGCCGTTGTTAAGCAGCCAAGAGGGAAAAATGTAGACACACGACTTTGAATTTCCCAGAATCAGTGTACAGTGTCTTTTTAAAAACTTTTAAAAACAATCTCAAGAAATATTGTATTTTACATTACAAGTTGTTAAGCTATTACTATTATTGCGTGCAGTATGGTATGTATCAGTACATCAAATCATAACACTTTGAGTACATCGTATTATCATATAGAACGTAACATTATACTAGATACTTGGTATGATATTGCAATACGGTAGCTTAGAAAGGTTATCGTCTACCGTAGCTACAGGAGCTTCTTTCAGATGTCGTATATCTTGCACAGATCAATGAAGACCTAGGGTTAGAATTGGCAATCCATATGATTCTCATAAGAGGCGACTAACGCTATCGCTGATTAATGCACGTCTTCCATCAGAATTGCGTAGATCGATGCTCGTGATGCCAGTCACTTGATTGTCTGGTTCAGGTTCAATTATGTACATACCAACGCCATATAGCTGGAATCTGAGCGGCGTTAAACAACAACAGTATATGTTACAGTGTTCTGTTTCTTACATACACCCTAACATCGCACTATTTGGTCACAGCCGCACATTAACACATGACACATTAGTTATGAATGACTACTTGCTTCTTTATACTCACCTTGTGTGACAATCATCAAGAAAGATTCAGATATGTCTGAGGGACGAGAATCTGTGGTAACTGAAGCCTGTTTAGTAATATAGATGTGAACAAAAGTAGGGTACATGAAACTGCATGTTGGTTTATCACCTTAAGAAACACCCATCGTGACCGTGGCTTCAGTTTTCACCTGGGGAAGATCAACTGAATACATTTTAAAGGGTAACTTTAAGGGTAATATTTATGATAACTTAATATATTTGTTGTTAACGGTTCAGCCCATATGCTGAAAGATTAAACTGATAGGAAACCAGACAACAGTACTCCTCTTTGACATTCATTCTGATCATCAATACTACGTGGTTTACCATTGTACATAATTTACAAACTATTTTTATATTTACGCATAAGTGTTCAGACTCTGTGATTAAGAGAATGTTTGTCATTTCTAATGAAACTACCCTTATGATATTTACATATCATTCCATCGTCATATGTTACATCATTTAGCATGTGTAATATGTGAAATATATTTTTCATTTGTATGTTATTTGATTATTTGATATTTTACATTAAATATTTTTACAAATGGATTTCTTTGTGAGCTTTTTTGGTCGATTAAATGTTATATATATAACACTTGATCATTTAGATTGGGAAATGTTGCTCTTAAGTAGGTTGTGACATTCAGCCCAGCAATTTACCTTCCGCATAGGTACTATTGCCCACTACGGATTTGAGCTCAGCAGCAGTACTATTTGGATACAATTGTATCATGGTAATGCCGCGCTGATGAAGGAGGTGAGCTGCAGTACCCTGGCACCAAACTAAAGAGCGTGTGCCCCAGTCTTATAGCTCGAAAAGGTTGTCAATGGGATTTGAATACCATCAGAGGAGCTATTGATCTAGATGATTTTTCTTGGAACTGAGTCGTTCATTGGGAAATCTCACGGTTTTCAATGGCTTTCTGCCTCACTCATGTACAAATCACTGAGATAAATGTCTTCTGAAACAATTATTTCACAAAATCATACGTCTCTCTTTCTCTCTCTCTCTCTCTCTCTCTCTCTCCTTGAAGACATTCACTGTGATAATTGTCTATCATAAATCTTAATTTTACATTATGTATCGTATATATATTTAAGTGTTATATATACCATTGGCGATTACTAAAATGGAGGCCTAAATAGGCTGATGAACGTTATTTATTCCTAAATATTGCAAACTGGATGTGTGGTTGGGACAGTGATTGCCCCCGTAGCCAAGCCCTGACATTCAAGTCATAATATCATATAGCACCATGCACATGCCCATGTGTTTATACCAAAGTTGTAAATGTCTGTGGTCAGCTTGAGTTTTCTCATCTTGGTGGCACGCCGAGATATAACTTGCATACTGTTCAAAGCGGCGAAGTGATGCAGGTCTCTCTCTCTCTCTCTCTCTCTCTCTCTCTCTCTCTCTCTCTCTCTCTCTCTCTCTCTCTCTCTCTCTCTCTCTCTCTCTCTCTCTCTCTCTCTCTCTCTCTCTCTCTCTCTCTCTCTCTCTCTCTCTCTCTCTCTCTCTCTCTCTCTCTCTCTCTCTCTCCGTTGTTTTGCACGAAGCTTGTACCTCCTGAATAACTTCACCCAACTGTGTGCTTAAGTCACACTTCATTCAGGTTCAAAACATGCACAGTAGATTCTAGCAGGTCGCGAGACCACCAGTGAGCAGGTCCACGTCACGAGTGCACCGTATGGACCATCAACAATAGAGAGTGAACGCTTGACTAACTCCTCCGTGGTGTTTTGGATACGTGTCGTTTCGATAACTCCATCATAGGCAGTTTCCACTACTATTTTCTAATTTCTGATCAGTGAATTTGTCATTACCAGCTCAGTAACGGAAGTGGCGAAACAGAAAATTCAAAAAAAAACAAGAAGAAAAACAAACCCGTCTCACTTACCTGGCCTCAAGGACATCAGAACTTGAATGTATGCCTATCATTCAAACTACACACAGAGACCGTATACTTTACTCTTTGCACCGTTTGCACACGCTCCATGTTTCAAATGTAGATGTGTCTGTCAATAGCGTCACAAGTGTTAATAACCCCCAAACAACACACACACACACACACATACACACACACACACAAAGAAAAAACCCCAACAAAATACAGAAACAAAATAAAAAAAAACCCCAAAAGAACAAAGAATCTAACACACCCCTCCCCCGCACACAAACAAAAACCAAACAAAAACAATACACACAACACATACACACACACGCACGCACACACACCACCACCACCAACAACAAAACAAACAACCAAAAATAAAAAATAAATGAAAAAACCTAGCGAACAGAAACAAAACAATTGAACAGAAACAAAACTATTAGCCGTTGCATATGTTTATGTCGGGTGCCACCGGTAGGGCAGGATACGCTCACGCAAACACCTGGTATCATCGCTATTTTGATGGTGATTTATAAACACTTGCTAATGATATAGTCGTACATTCGACTTTGCTTTTAGCAGAGATTTCTTATGGATGTGGGTTTTGTGCTTTAGATTTTTTAAGACACTGGTCAGAGCAGGCTAAAACAGTTACTCAAATGAATATCTTTCAGTTCTATCTAACAATATTCAAGATTTGTTTTGTCTTTAAGCAAAGCGAAAAGGGTAACCATTCCCTGCCCTAGAAGTTGTTGAGCAAACAACGTGGGACGGTATATCACTGTAAGAAATTATACTTAGGTGTGTATATGTCTGTATATGTCTGTATATGAATTGACCCGTGAAGATCCGGGGTAGAATAGGTCTTCAGCAACCCATGTGCTTGCCATAACAAGGCGACTATCTTGTCGTAAGAGGCAACTAACGGGATCGGGTGGTCAGTTTCGCTGACTTGATTGACAAATGTCATCGGTTCCCAATTGCGTAGATCGATGCTCATGCTGTTGATCACTGGATTGTCTGGTCCAGACTCGATTATTTACAGACCGCCGCCATATAGCTGGAATATTCCTGAGTGCGGCGTAAAACTAAACTCACTCACCCACTCACTGTATATGAATTTATTGTTTGTTGTCATTGTATCTATGTGCCATGCCTTTGTTTGGCCAATTTATGTTTCTTGATCGCTATGATCGGGTAATTTGTTTGTTTTTCTGTAGGTTTCTGTAAACAGTTGACATGTGTCATGCGTGATCAAGGGACCTGACCATCTGATCCCGTCAGTCGCCTCTTACGGCAGTCAGGGGTTACTGAAGATCAATTCTAACCGGGTTTTTCGCCGTGCAGGGTATTTTGCAGGGCTACCACAGAGATACCTGAACAGTGTTCATATATATAGTGAAATCTCTAGATATAGGACGTTGAAATTGTGGTATATGCATACACAGCCTCTATAAAACCTAACGAAGCATCAAATCACATACCCCCATGATTCTGATGCAACTGTTTTTTTATGTAGATAATTCAACAGCTGAAACATCACGCTGTGCGTTTGATTCTGAATACATTTAGCCTGGTGAAATATGTTTGTCATGATGCATGTTATCCTATATTCGAAATATACACGTGGAAAAATGGAAAAAAGTAGCGCAACACCCTATTTTCATAGTATCAATGTGTTGCCATTACCTGGCTCTCCAGGAGTATCAAATGGTAAACCCTAACGTAAAAAGAACGAAACACTGTAGCTCACTAAGAGAAGCAAGCAGACAAAAATTGACTCTTTTTAAAGTGCTGATAACTATGGTAGGTACTTTTCAAGATTCTGGCATACGATCCTCAAGAAATCGCATATAGTACTAATAACTATGTCAATGCCTAGTGTAGCCTCCGGCAACGTTTAGCATCCCTGACCCGCTTCCTCATTGACTGTATCAGACATTCTTCATGGAGGGTTTATTCCGACAACTCAAGATTATGTACTGGAGGATTTCCCTGGCGCATTTAGCGACCCATTTGTCCCAGACATGTTCCGTGAGATCTAAACTACTGGCGGGACAAGGTAGAGTTGCTGCCGCCTCTCGACGAAAGACATGACCAACGGGACATGACTAGCTTTGTCTTCCATGAAGACAGGCCTTGTGTTCAGAGGATGATGATCGAAATGTTGTACAACAACCTTGCCTCGGATGCTGTGCCGTTGTCCCTTCAGATTGTGTCTGGTAGTCTCAGTTCAGTCCTGTGAGGGACACCCCATACAATCAATGCACGCCCGCCAAACGGTGCTGGCTCCAAGGTATTCCGTTGTGTACGCGTAGTGTTCTGTGGCGCCCCGAGCTCGACCATCAGTTATGAACCAGGGTCCGACCAATGAACCCTTCTCCATTACCTCAAAATTCAGTGACAGTGAACTTGATGCGTAGCTTGTGGTGCTGCTTTGTACTCTGGGGATAACAACAGACATCTTACAGGTCGTCTGGCTCTATATCCGGTAGGCGGTTTCAGACTGTTCTGTCGGACAAACGACGATGTTGAAGTCGCTCCGTTTTTAACACGTCACTTGACGGATGAAGTCTTTTTCCTACCTAGTGGATGTCGATAACGTCATTACTTCGATGATGTTAAGATCGGCTTATAGTCGCTGGATGACAACCAACATCTCTTGCAAATAGCCCTCAACGACTTGCTCGCATTCCGCATACCAGTAGCAAGTCATCTCTGAGTAGTTGTCAGTCGAGGAGGCAGCGCTGATAGAACAATTATTTGCTTAATGATAGGTGCACGCATTGCACTTAATGCTCGCCTTATTTAAAATCAATGTATGGCGCGCTTGAAGGTTAAAACATATTTATACAAACAAACATAATTATGATGCGAATATAAATGGTTAAAATAATAGGTGTTACGATATTTGTTTCATGTGTATACATCTCAAGGCCTAACAATTTGGGTCAAACACATTCCATCCTCAATTTACTTGGTCGGCTGGTTTGTTGTGTAACGTCGTACTCAGCAATATTCCAGCTATATAGCCAGTCTGTAAATAATCGAGTCTGGACCAGACAATCCAGTGATCAACAGCATGAGCATCGATCTACGCAATTGGAATACCGTGACACGTGTCAACCAGGTCAGCGAGCCTGACCACCCCATCCCATTAGTGGCCTCTTACGACAAGCAAGGGTTGCTGAAGACCAATTCTAACCCGTATCCTCAATAACCTGATGGAGGTGTTTACGTTTGCTACCTTTGGTGACTCAGAGAACATAGGTATAGAGCAGACAAACGAAGAAACATTATTAAGGAGAAAAAGGGATCCACGAATTTTCTTGCACAGGGACGAAATTGTACAACAATTATTTACGAGCTGAGGTAACAGAGACATATATCTGTGTCGCTTGTGGATACTGGTTTGTGATCGATCCATAGTCTTTCCGACAATTGCAAACAAATTCTAATAAGACGCATTCAGACGGTAGAAAAAGTCAAAGGACCAACCATCCAGTGGGCCATATAGTCCATATCATTATATTTGTAAATATTTGTCAGTATTCAATAGATTTATATCCCCGTCAAATTCCGATCATCGCACAACTGAACCTGTTTTTAATCAGTTATCGAAGTCCGTAATTCATGTTTTGTCATACTTCAATAGCT